CTCTACATGTAGAGGACATTTACAGTCAGACAGTGGGACATGTGAGTCTCTACATGTAGAGGACATTTACAGTCAGACAGTGGGACATGTGAGTCTCTACATGTAGAGGACATTTACAGTCAGACAGTGGACACAGAATGATGTCACAGCTCTTCTGTCAAACTGCTGATAAACACTCTTTTTTACTCACAGCTGACAGTTCCTCAAACACCTGGTTGTTCCTGCTCTGTACTTCTGCTCTGTGGACGTTGACAGTAGCTCAGTTTGTCCCGTCTGACTTCCCGTATTTCAAATGTCAGCTGAAGTCAAACAAACAAACAAACAGAGACATCGTCAGGTTTAGATTTTATGTTCCTGACACAGATTTTCAAACTGGACAGACAGAAACGGGTCTCCGAAAACTTTAACGTTTAAATATCAGCGACTAAAAACATTAATATTTATTCTGAATAAAATATTTTAATATTGAGTTTATCTGAATACGAATAAAGTTGAGACTGAGTGTGACCTCATGAGACTGAGTGTGACGTCATCAGACTGAGTGTGACATCATGAGACTGAGTGTGACATCATCAGACTGAGTGTGACATCATGAGACTGAGTGTGACGTCATGAGACTGAGTGTGACATCATCAGACTGAGTGTGATGTCATGAGACTGAGTGTGACCTCATGAGACTGAGTGTGACATCATCAGACTGAGTGTGATGTCATGAGACTGAGTGTGACCTCATGAGACTGAGTGTGACATCATGAGACTGAGTGTGACATCATGAGACTGAGTGTGACATCATGAGACTGAGTGTGACATCATGAGACTGAGTGTGACATCATGAGACTGAGTGTGACATCATGAGACTGAGTGTGACATCATGAGACTGAGTGTGACATCATGAGACTGAGTGTGACATCATGAGACTGAGTGTGACATCATGAGACTGAGTGTGACATCATGAGACTGAGTGTGACATCATCAGACTGAGTGTGATGTCATGAGACTGAGTGTGACCTCATGAGACTGAGTGTGACATCATGAGACTGTGTGACCTCATGAGACTGAGTGTGACATCATCAGACTGAGTTCAGTTTCTGAGGATCAACGTCAATGGATATTCAGGTCAATGAGCTGCAGCCTGGCTGTGCTGCTCAGCAGACAATGTGGCCTCAGTGTGGCCCCAGTGTAGTGAGAGGCTGAGTCAAACCAGGTACACAGGTTACACTCGGTCCAGCCTGTCCGCTGAAGGTCCGTCTGCAGAGTCACTTCCTGTTCTCCTTCAGGTGAGTCGTCTCGTCAACGTGGAGATTGACGTGACTTAACTGTAAATGGGACTTACAGGTGACTTGCAGAGTGCTGACTTGGTCCCAGTTCTGATCATTTTAAACTGTGTGTGATGAGCTCTGAAAGAAACCTGCAGGACTCATCCACTACACTAAACGTCCTCTGTGTAGATGTGACTCGATTGACTTGATGTTACTCGATGTGACGTGTTGACCGAAACACGTCTGAACTAGTTGATTCAAACCTGTGAACCGAGTCACATTATTCCGTCACCTGTTCACATGAAGCTTCTCTTTACATTCAGACGTGTCAGACAAGTGTTTGACGAGCTGAAACCTGATGGCATTCGGCTCAGAGCGACATGTCCACACTGCTGACGGGAACATTTATGGCTGTACTGACACCCTCACAGCAGCCCAGGTGTTACCATGATGATGGATCAGACACACAACTCAGTAATTTTTCTGTTGATGAGTCTCGGTAACCTGAGACAGCCGAACGTGTCGGAGAGAAGTCAGGAAACACAGCAGCTGCAGTCTGAATATTATTATCATATTCTGACTGCAGCTTATCAGAGTTCAGTTTCAAAGTATTTCAAACTTTAGTCTGCTCACTGACGTCTTCATTAAACCTGCTGACTTGCCTGTAGCAGCTCACCTGTACAGGTACGTGACAGGTACATGTTTCAGACTGAGTGAAAACATTTTATTTAAATAAATTCAGATGTTTGAGTCTCGTGAACAGTCCGTGTGTTCATGTGTCCATCTGTGAATTTGAAACAACTTCCACACACACACAAATACAGAGATCTGTAAACTCACAAAAATATTCAGCAAATATAAAACACATCTGCACAAATTACACACATTTAATTTAAATGTAATTAATTTACAGATAAATAAAAATCACCAGTGAATTTCTAACATTTAAAACTTTCAGATATTTGAGTCCAGTTTTTATTTGCAAATCTAAATTCTACAGCTGCAGTTTTTTTTTATAATCACTGAAATCTGTTTTATATTTTCTGTGTGTGTGTGATGTTTTCTATTAACAGATGACAAATTAACTGTCGAGATAAGACTCTGTATGTTTCCATAGTAACAGCTGCTTTAAGCTTTAATAACATGTTGAATCTTTAGTTTGTGTCCATCAGCAGCAGCAGGTGCGTCTGATCAGCTGATCATGATCTGATAAATCTGTGACTGAAGAAATCAAACTGCTCTGACTCAACGAGACAAAGTGTAAAACTCTGCCGATGTTAAAGATGGTGTTAAAATTAGTTTTAAATGATTTTATTTTTCAGTTTGGTTTCTGTGCAGCAGATTCACAGAGCAGCTGGATATGAATCTTTGTCTTTGTGTCTTCGTCTGTTTCTTTCTGAAGCACTTTAATAAAACATCATCGATTACACTTCACAGCCTGCTGATTTTCAAGATAAACTGACACCAGAGAGACCGACTGATCTTATCAGACTCAGAGTGACATCATGATTTCTGTCTCAGAGTCCTCAGAGACAGACGCAAATGAGAAATGAAGGAGGCAGACGGACAGAGGGACAGACATACTGTAAAGATAGAAACACAGACAGTAAAAATATGAGTAAAAATCAGAACTCACTGACCTGAAGTTTGGATCTGCTGCTGGTTCCCTCGAACAAGTGAAGATGATGATGATGATGATGATGATGATGATGATGATGGGGAGGTGGTGGTGAGGCAGCTGCACGACATCAAACACACACTCTGCTGATAAAAGGGAAATGTGTGTGTGTGTGTGTGTTTGTGAAAGTCTTCCTCTTTGGTTTCACATCCACACACAGACACACACACACACACACACACACTCTCTGTTTCAACTCGTCTCATGTTTCATGTGTATGTGTGTGTGTGTGTGTGTATGTGTGTGTGGGTGTGTGTGTGTGTGTGTGTGTGTGTATGTGTGTGTATGTGTGTGTGGGGGTGTGTGTGTGTGTGTGTGTGTGTGTGTGTGACCCACAGCTGTTTCTGTGTGTGATACATGTGCTAAGGTTTACACAACATTCTGTGGGTTTACTTAGGAAGAACTGGTTAAAACAAGTTAAAGTTACCGCACAGTAAATCTTCACATATTTCCTCCCCTCACAAGTTGTATCCTGTTGCCGTGGAGACGCGTCAATGAGCAACAACATGGTGAGGTGTGACTGTGGAAGTGTGTGTGTCTAAATGTGTTCTGATGTTAATATTCATTAAATAAATGATTTATTCACAAAGCATTTTTTAAACATACAGTTACAAAGCGTTTGACACAGAAGCAGGAAACATTAAAATTCAACAACATGTAAATGTTTGTGTGTACATGTACATATGTTCAGACCACAGATTGATGTCACCGCCCTCGGAGGTGGTCGGGTGCGCTCTGGTCCGACTCTGGAGACGGTCCCTCTCAGGGGGAACTCGCTGTGTTTAAACTGGTGATGTCATTAAACGCAGCAGAGATTGACTCAGAGGAACTGAACACGGCTCAAACATCCTCCGTCACTAACAACTGAAGCTTTGCAGTGAAATCATTCTCCATCAAACAGCCTCTGGATACAAATGACTTTATTTTCTCCTTGACGCTGTACAGACAAATATTGACGACACAAAGAGGTGCATGATGGGAAGGTCAGGCCACGTCCTCCATGTAGTCGGCTCCATGACTGTGACTGAGCTGAGAGACGCTCAGATCCTGAGTGGTTTCATCAAACTGCAGAACAAACACCAACAACATGGAGTTAAAGACTTACAGGACCAGAACTCGCAGGTCAGACCTGAACCAGGAGGCCGTCTCATCACCTTGTCGCTGTTGTCGGGTCCCTCGATGGAAACATCCTCGATCTCCTCGCCGATGCTGAGCTCGCTCTTGGACAGGTCCGACCGATGGCTGAAGCAGACATAGGAAACCAGTGTTAAACGATGATCCTTCCCGAATGACACTGGTTCTGATCCCGTCTTTAACTTCATCCCTTCATCATACAGCAGAATGAATCCTGAGCATGATGATGTCACTGAAGCTGCATATCATCGGCCTTACCTGTTAAAGTCATCGTCGTATTCCACATCGTCATCTGTTAAAGTTCAAACAAAGTTTTATCAGTGAAGTTAAAACATTTCAACACGTCTTCATCTCTGAGGTTTAACTCTTTACAGACCACACGTTTCTGACTTTCTTACAGCCATGTTTAATTCATACTGTTTAAAGATCCTCTCCACATGTTGTTAACGTGTCCTCCTCAGATCTCCAGAGGACAGAACTCTGTTTAAGGGTTGTTTCTTTATCTGAACTCAGAGTGACGCAGACTGGTCAGAACCATGAAGACACCATAACCTCATCCTGCAGAGTGAGACATGAACCAGCAGAGGGACAGACTGTCCCCTTACAGCGCTGCAGCAGGAGACGCTGTGATGTAATGACGGTTTGAATCGTACCAATGTGTAGAGATCCAGTTTGATCATTCGGAGCCTTTGAGTCTCTGAAGCCTCGCTGTCTGGAGTTCAACGCTCCTGCAGGAAGAAAACACACACTGTGACACACCTGCTGCAGGTGATCCTGCAGAGGGCGCTATAACAACTCCTGGATGTTCAGAATGAAACTTTAACAGTGTTAAGCTCTGACCGTTCCTGCTGTGGCTCTGCTCTGAGGCACTGCTTCCTCCTCCTCCTCCTCCTCCTGGTCTCGGGGCCTCTGACAGGGACCCTGCTGGACTCCCTCTGGCCCCTGTCGCCTCCACCTTCCTGGGATACAAATAGCACTCAGTCTGTGCTCAATGTTACTGCCCACTGCTCACAATCACTGCTCACTCTCACTGTTACTGTTAATGTCACTGCTCACTGTTAATGTCTCTGCTCACTGTTACTGCCCACTGTCACTGTTAATGTTACTGTCACTGCTCACTGTTAATGTCTCTGCTCACTGTTACTGCCCACTGTCACTGTTAATGTTACTGTCACTGCTCACTGTTAATGTCTCTGCTCACTGTTACTGCCCACTGTCACTGTTAATGTTAATGTCACTGCTCACTGTTACTGTCTCTGCTCACTGTTACTGCCCACTGTCACTGTTAATGTTAATGTCACTGCTCACTGTTACTGCCCACTGTCACTGTTAATGTTACTGTCACTGCTCACTGTTAATGTCTCTGCTCACTGTTACTGCCCACTGTCACTGCTAATGTTACTGTCACTGCTCACTGTTAATGTCTCTGCTCACTGTTACTGCCCACTGTCACTGTTAATGTTAATGTCACTGCTCACTGTTACTGCCCACTGTCACTGTTAATGTTACTGTCACTGCTCACTGTTAATGTCTCTGCTCACTGTTACTGCCCACTGTCACTGTTAATGTTACTGTCACTGCTCACTGTTACTGTCTCTGCTCACTGTTACTGCCCACTGTCACTGTTAATGTTACTGTCACTGCTCACTGTCACTATTCCGCTGTGAGGGTCATAAGGACAGAGGGATGTCGTATGCTGTAAAGCCCTGTGAGGCAAACTGTGATTTGTGATATTGGGATTAATAAATAAAATTGATTGATTGATTGCATTGACGATTACTGTTACTGCCCACTGCTCACAATCACTGCTCACTCTCACTCTCACTGCTCACTGTTAGGCCCAATCCCAATTCCTATCTTAACCCTCAATCTTAACCCTCAGTCTCAAAAATCCACGCTCCCGCGAAGTGCTAGTGCTGTCCCGATTCTCAGAGTGTTGAGTTGAGGGCCAAGAATAAGGGCTGTATCTTGGTAGTGAGTGCTATCCCAGAATCCTTTGCGCATCATCCGCCGAGCCCAGCCGAGCCCGGCCGAGTACAGACGATTCAGTCAATGCAAGATGGCGGCGACAAGCGTAAGGAAGCGGAGTCATCAATGTGAGTATTTTCCTCGTTAATAGTTGTTTTAAAATTATGATAACCATTGCATTATCTTAGTTTAACGTCATTTTATGGACTATAGACCTCTTTGTAGCGTAACATACATATTCTTTTCGCTAGCTAACGAAGCCCGCGCGTAACCCTGGTTCTCTGATAACCGAGTATGCTGTCATTCAGTTACAAAAAGTAATTTTTCTCAGTGATAATGTAGTTGTTAAGTTGTTTTAATATACGTGAAATGTTTGCATTGACATTTTTGTAAGATGACCGGACGGTGTCATCTCCTGTAGCTGTAGAGTCTGCAGCTGGTAACGTTACAGCTGCAGGTTAACGTTAGTGATCGTATTATCTGGTGACTTTCCACTGAATAAGTTACGTCAGTTGTTGTGGTACAGGTTATTTGGTTGAATATCAATTTATAACCCAACGAGTGAAACGTTAACGTGGATGAAAGTCACAAGATAACACTTGTGTGACTGTGTAAACAGCCTCACCAGTTCTGCTGGATGTTGACTACAGTATTCATTGTGATAATACTTGCAATACTGCATGAAACTAAACTAATAACTTAACGAATATCTGACAGGTAGCCCAAAAAAATAATAAAAGAAAGTAATGTTGTTATCTCTGTTCCATTTCAGGGCCACCAGACAAAACACAAGCCCTGATTCATTTCAGGGCCACCAATGAAGACAAGTTTACAAAACGCAAGCAGGCTCCAAAAAAACTATGGGAGTGAGTAATTTGTAACTTGTGAACTGTTCATATTCATAACATAATTCTCGGTCACAATGGCAACTGTTCCCCTAATGATCAAGCATTCTGTTTCAATATGAAATCAGCACAGCTGCAGACGGCATTGTCGAAGATTATTGTTTGGTAACTGTACATTTGTTTTGGAGCTGCCCCTATACTGTCACTTTCTGGAAAGATTTTTCCGATTATATTCGTTGTAACATTTATGTTCTATTTTCACTACTGTACAAAGATGTGCTGTTTGGATTTTATGATGTCAGCATTTCAAAACAAAAACAATTCTATATTATTAATCTACTTATCTTAGCGAAATTCCATATTCATAAGAGTAAATTTTGTAACAGAAAACCCTTGTTCAAAATTTTTATGAATGAAATGCAGCAATACTTCGAAACCATTCAGCACTCCACAAACTCCAAAGCTATAAAGACTCTGAAAATATGTAAACAATTTAATGGTTTGAGCTGGTGAACTTTTTTATTTATTTATTTGTTTATTTTATTTCTTTTTCTTTTCTCTTAACCCTGGCATATTTGTTCTGTTCATGTCTGTCACTACTTGTTTTGTACAAGAACTGAAATAAAGTGTTGGGGAAAAAAATTGTCGCATCTTTTTATTGACGACTACTGATGATGTATATTTCTTCTTCTTTGAATTGACAGACTGGACAGAGTTTTGCCCCCCCACAGTCTTAAGACGTATTTGCCTTTGAGGGGTGTCCCATTTTAAAGTCACAAGATAGCCCTTAACACTTGGTTTTGAGGGCTAGTGAGATTGAGGGTTGAGTTTGAGAATTAAGATTGAGGGTTAAGATAGGAATTGTGATTGGGCCTTACTGTCACTGCTCACTGTTACTGTTAATGTCACTGTTCACTGTTACTGTCACTGCTCATTGTTACTGTCACTGTTCACTGTTAATGTCACTGCTCATTGTTACTGTCACTGTTCACTGTTAATGTCACTGCTCATTGTTACTGTCACTGTTCACTGTTAATGTCACTGTTCACTGTTAATGTCACTGTCACTGCTCACTGTTAATGTCACTGTCACTGCTCACTGTTACTGCTCACTGCTCACAATCACTGCTCACTCTCACTGTTACTGTTAATGTCACTGATCACTGTTACTGTTAATGTCACTGCTCACTGTTACTGTTAATGTCACTACTCACTGTTAATATCACTGCTCACTGTTACTGTTTTTGTGACTGTCACTGCTCACTGTTACTTTTAATGATACTGCTCACTGTAACTGTTACTGTCATTGCTAACTGTTAATGTCACTACTCACTGTTAATGTCACTGCTAACTGTTACTGTTATTGTCACTGTTACTGTTAATGTTACTGCTCACTGCTCACTGTTACTGTCACTGCTCATTGTTACTGTCACTGTTAATGTCACTGCTCACTGTTACTGTCACTGCTCACTGTTAATGTCACTGCTCATTGTTATTGTCACTATCACTGATCACTGTTAATGTCACTGTTCACTGTTACTGTCACTGCTCACTGTCACTGCTCACTGTTACTGTTAATGTCACTACTCACTGTTAATATCACTGCTCACTGTTACTGTTATTGTCACTGTCACTGCTCACTGTAACTGATAATGTCACTGCTCACTGTTACTGTCATTGCTCACTGTTACTGTCACTGCTCATTGTTACTGTCACTGTTCACTGTTAATGTCACTGCTCACTGTTACTGTTACTGTCACTGCTCATTGATACTGTCACTGTTCACTGTTAATGTCACTGCTCACTGTTACTGTCACTGCTCATTGTTACTGTCACTGCTCATTGTTACTGTCACTACTCACTGTTACTGCTCACAATCACTGCTCACTCTCACTGTCACTGCTCACAATCACTGCTCACTCTCACTGTTACTGTTAATGTCACTGATACTGTCACTTCTCACTGTTACTGTTAATGTCACTGTCACTGTTACTGCTCACTCTCACTGTTACTGTTAATGTCACTACTCACTGTTCACTGTCACTGCTCACTGCTCACAATCACTGCTCACTCTCACTGTTACTGTTAATGTCACTGATACTGTCACTTCTCACTGTTACTGTTAATGTCACTGTCACTGTTACTGCTCACTCTCACTGTTACTGTTAATGTCACTACTCACTGTTCACTGTCACTGCTCACTGCTCACAATCACTGCTCACTCTCACTGTTACTGTTAATGTCACTGATACTGTCACTTCTCACTGTTACTGTTAATGTCACTACTCACTGTTAATGTCACTGTCACTGCTCACTGTTACTGTTAATGTCACTACTCACTGTTAATGTCACTGTCACTGCTCACTGTTACTGCTCACTGCTCACAATCACTGCTCACTCTCACTGTTACTGTTAATGTCACTGATACTGTCACTTCTCACTGTTACTGTTAATGTCACTACTCAGTGTTAATGTCACTGTCACTGCTCACTGTTAATGTTAATGTCACTGCTCACTGCTCACAATCACTGCTCACTCTCACTGTTAATGTTAATGTCACTGCTCACTGCTCACAATCACTGCTCACTCTCACTGTTAATGTTAATGTAACTGATACTGTCACTTCTCACTGTTACTGTTAATGTCGCTGATCACTGTTACTGTTAATGTCACTACTCACTGTTAATGTCACTGCTCACTGTTAATGTCACTGTCACTGCTCCCTATTATTGTTAATGTAATTGTCACTGCTCACTGTTACTGTTAATGTCACTGTCACTGCTCACTATTATTGTTAATGTCACTGCTCACTGTTAATGTCACTGCTCACTGTTAATGTCACTGCTCACCGTTACTGTTAATGTCACTGCTCACTGTCACTGTTCACTGTTACTGTCACTGCTCACTGTTAATGTCACTGTCAATGTCACTGCTCATTGTTACTGTCACTATCACTGTTCACTGTTAATGTCACTGCTCACTGTTACTGTTATTATTATTAACTCTTTATTGGACAGGGACAGTGCACACAAAAAAAAACATTAATCTCAGATGAGAAAAGATGCTTTGTGCCAGATTTAGCTGTCAGCTAGCTACTTTCCATCTGTAGTCCCTGGGTAGGTACGCACAAAATCTAAAAACAACATT